TCACAGACACCTTTGAACTCAATAGCTGCAGTATTTCCATACCACACAATCTGGGTGTGAAGGAAGCTGGCAATCTCTGTGCTGCTGACACACAGCTCTTTCAGATCTTCACGATTCTTCTTCACTTGCTGGCATACACTATGAGCAGAATACTTAGAAGTGACAGTCTCACACACACCTCAACTGCCTTGAGCAGGCGTACAATAACTTCTGACACAGCGGTGACATAGGGAAACGGAATGAGTTCTGCCGCTGAATCGACAGTCTGAGCAACAGTGATTGCAGCTCCCAGCCAATCTGTCTTTAAGGCCAAGGGGTTGCCTGCTTGCGCTTTGGGGGCTGCTGGTAAGGGTGGGACGACCGACATGGTGGAAGACAAGGGCACCCGAGGCTGTGCTTCTCCGAGGCGGTGCTTGTCTGACAGTGTCACAGATAAGTCACATTCAGGAGTTAAATCCATGGGCGAGTTTTTTTTCATCATCTTCAAAGTCGGTTCAGACGGCCAGTTGCCGCTACGTGTCGTTAGACTCAGAAGGCGACTTCAATCAGTATTCTACCACATATGATCAACCGACACCATAACACTGGATCCCCAGCCTGAGCTCCTCCGCAATAATCAAAGCTGCTTTCTCGCCGATAGGTAGTGCTGTGCCATACGTGTTCGCTGCGACGTTCGACGGAGGGATAGACATTTGCTGGGGGTGGAATCAAAACCTCGTTGTCGCGAGAATTAGATTGACCTTACATCTACGGAACACAGGCAAGGAGTGAATTCTACGATGGAAGAGAGGATGATATAGGCTCACCAGCGACTTTGAGCCCCTGCACGCCGTAGACGTTGAGTCGTTCGTCAACGACACCCATCTCATTTCTGGGCTTCATCGCACAGGTGCCGAGCTGCAACAAGGGTCATGATTAGGAGTGCCCCAAGTAAGGCAACGCGTACGGCACATTTTCGCGCCTCTTCTTGGTCTTCTGCGGCTTGCGCCCGCTCCTGCTCCCCACGTTCGTGACGTCCGCGAGCGGCTCCCCCGCGCGCCGCTTGCCCAGCGCCTTTTCGTTCTTCGCGAAGAACGAGCGGCCGACCCTCTGCCTCGCACTTGGCATTCCACCCTCCAGGCGTCCTAAGCGTGCCTCGCGTACTCGCCGAGCTCCTCGTAGGGCTTGTAGACGAGCTCTATGATCTTGAGAAGAGGTCGGTGATCTCTACGGTGACGGGAGCGCGAACGGCGGCGGGAGCGTGCTGGCTGAGGTGCCCGTCGTTGCAGCGCGCAGGCCGTCGTATGCGTTGACGACGACGACAAGCTCGGTGAAGGTGACGGTGGCGACGACGCCATTGTTGACGAGGGGGCAGTTGGGAACGAAGAACAGTGCCTTGGCCCACCTGAAGGGGGGCGCGGCAACGTTCATGTTGTCGTCGGGAGCGCTCCTCTTGAGGGAGACGGGCGAAGGAGCCTCGACGTCCATGTCGTCATCGATGAGGGCGTCGGAGGCGACAGAGGTACGACGAGAACCACGGAGGAGACGGCATTGCAGAAGGCTGCTATGAGGCACACGAGACAGGAAGACAGGCGCAAACTTGGAGCGCTTGACGAGCTGCTTGCGAGCATCGTGCTTGTCGTCGTCGTGGTCGTTGCTGTAGAGGGACAGGCCGAAGAAGGCGACGCATAGGTTGCGCTCGTCGACGGGAGTGAGGACGGGGAAGGTGTTGGTGGGGATGTTGGCGGAGAACATGGTGGTCGGGAAGAGACAGCGGAATGGGAGTAGTACGACTTGAAGTGGTGTGTGGTGTGGCTTGAGGAGGCAGGAGCCCTGCGTCAACAACGTCCGCTCCGCCCCGCCCCGCTTCGCGCACTGGGCCCGACCGCGCAGTGAAGCCGGGGCTGAAAGTCGTCGAGGTGAGCACGATTCGGATAACAGGAAGCGGGGACGTACATTTCACTCTCAAGACTCAAGAGCATTTGAGTTCCCTCTCGGCGACCCGCGCCTCGACGCACAGGCTCGTATCGTCGTAGGTGCTTCACTTCACACGGGTAATCAGTACTGGCGGGACATAGAGCGGGAGGCAGGTACTTACCAATCTGTAACAGTAACAACAGACTCCAAGCCCAAGCCCTCGTCGTTGTGGGACAGAGGGGTGCAGCCGAGGGCGGAGACGTATTCTGGTGGTGGGGTCAGTACGAATGTATGAATGTAGAAATGTATTAAAGAAAGAAAGAAAGAAAGAAAGTATGGAAGGAAGGCACAGAAGGAGCGGAATGCACCCACCAATTACAATTACATGTCTGTCGAGCGAGCCGCACCAGTGCGCCGCGGGGTCGACGAGGGACGCTGCATGCATGCATCCTTGACGTGCGGCGCCGGCCGATGATTGCTGCGCGCGGGTGAGTGTTCAGTACGTATGCAGGACGCAGGCCGGGGAGCGTACCAAATAGCACGATCCATCGACGGGACGACACACGACGACGCGGGACAGCGGGGCCGCGTGAGCGGCGTGGGGGTGCAGCGAGCGATCGCAGGTGGCTTGGGGCGCAGTGCAAGCACAAGCACGATGGATTGGATGAGTTGGTGGGCCGTGAATGGAAGTTATTCGAAGGAGGAAGAGAAGGGCGAGGGCGCTTTGGGTATTGCATTGAGCACGCAGGCGTGCGTAGCGCGCTGTGCCCGAGGTGAACGGCATGAGAGGTTGGGCATGGCGGAACATTAGGGAGAGCCGGGTATAGGATCGAGCGCCGACTGGAAAGCGCGGGCGCGTGAAGCTTCAAGAATGGGTACATTGCTCGCGTTCGTCACGAGTTCCGACGCCTCGAGACACGAAAACAGACTTTCCCTGCGCAGCACGCTAAGCACCAGAGATGACCAGAGACGGGATGGCGGTACGTACTTTTATGATTTCACTCTCAAAGACTTGAGAGAATTTGTGTTCTTGACGACTCGCACCGTCTTCCTTCGACCAACGGCTCGTACACTTCACTTTACGCGGGTGATCAGTACCAGAACGCAGAGAGGGAGGTCGTGGGAGTGTACCTTGCGATAACCGTCGAGCGCCCAGCGACTCCATCCACTGTGGGTATGTGTGTGGGGCGGGTGAACGTCATGCAACAGACGCCATCCATCCATCTAGTACGCCTTCGGCGCGGTGCGCAGGCGGGGGCACGTCGACGGCCTAGGACTGAATCGATACAATCCTGCAGATGCGCATACGTATGTAGGCGATGTCCGGCGTGCCGGTCCCACTGCGGGCACGAGTTGGACTTGGGTGTGAGGGAAAGCAACGACGGCGCGGGAGATTGGGCACCTCTGGACGAGTCTGTGAGCGGCAGCACAAGAACTTGGCGCGTAATAACGTCTCCAGCGCGAGGCATGAGACCTAAGGATGAAGATAATTAGAACACGAAAGATGAAATGAAAAGAGCCGGATTGCGCACCTGGCATCCATCACACCAAGCACAGTGCCCCCGTTCCCTTGCGTTGATTATCCATTGAGCTCGGGGACCCTGTGCGCATGCGGCCACAGGCGGCAGGCGGCTCGGGTGTGCTAGTAGCTTCAGCGCGCGCCCGCTTGCGGAAGACGTCGACGAGCATGGCGAGGACGACGGCGGCGCGGGAAAGGACATTGGTGTAGGGCGAGCGTGCGCGGCTGCGGGGCGAGGACTCCGGTGTGGTCGAGGCGGTTTCGCAGACGTATTCTACGGGGGCGTGGTCAGTAAGAATGTATGAATGTATGAAGGAAGGAGAGACAAAGAAGGAGCTGAACACACCAGTTACATATCTGTGGATCGAGCTTGATGTCGATGAGCTGCACGAGGGCGCCGCAGGTCGACGAGAGACACTGATGAGCGAGCCGGACGACCAGCCTTAGCCGCGCACGCAGTACAAGGCGCGAACTCGCGCTTGTAGTCCATGCGCGGCTATAGATGCGGTGGGTTCGCGTTCCGAATCCGTGCCGCATGTCTGCGAAGGGTATGGTCGAAGCGGTAGACGCGGTGGAAGCAAGTGGTGGAGGTGGAGGTGGAGGCGATGCTGCGTGGCAGCACTGCGACGGGGTCGGTCGGAGCAGGGAAAAGCGAGCTGGAGCAGCCTGGAAGGGGAATGAAGAGTGGAAAGGGTAAATACAAACTAACGAGCTGCGCACCTTTCCAATGGAGGCAACCAAGCCGTGATGTACAGCAGGCAGCTGAAACAGCGGTGTTTTGAGTCAATGAGAGAGAAGGGATACGTGAGCACACGCACCGGGGTTCAGAACTTCCCCTGCGACCTTTCTGCGCGCACATCTTGGGGAGCTGGGCTGCACTGTGCGCACGGGTGATAAATACACGCATACCGAATTGTAACAGTAATAGCACACCAGATCGCTGTCGAGCGCAGCACAGATTCCCAGCGGAGCACCATGGTCGGTGGGGCGCGTGACGGACGCTCAGCCTCGCGCACCCTGGGACGAGTTGAGCTTCATCAGGACTCGGCTTGGCAGGACAGAGTTGTGAGACGCGTGAGTTCGTCCCCAGTGAGCCTGAAGACGAAGATAATTAGAACGCGAAGGGGATGAAATGCAAGCCAGTTTGCGCACCTGGCATTCATCACAGCGAGCAGTGCCTTCCCTTCCCTTGCCTCGATTATGCCCATCTTGCGGCGCCGGCTCGTGTCGTGTGGCAAGGGTACGGGTGTGGCTGCAGTTGGGGAGAGGTTTAGGAAGAGAGCTCAAGTCAGGAAGCAAAAGAGGATAAGCGCCTGTCGGCCGACAACGCCGACAAACCGGCTTCCTCTCTGGCCCTCTCTGGGAACCACAGCGCGGCGAGTCGTGCGCCACTGGCCTCCACTGGCACCGTGTGGGTCGTAAGGCGTGGCGCTTGAGCGAAAGACGCGGCGGGCGTTGGCAGTCGTGCCGTAAAGTTGAAAATATATGGGGAGTCCTGACGTGGCATCAAGTTGAACAAAATATTTCTAGACTCAGAATTTGGAGAGGAATGAGGTATATCCAGTCTGCAAACCCACCTAGAAGAGGTTCGGTTGCGCGTGGTGCGCGTCTGCATTTCGTAATTTCACCAAAATCAATAAACCTGCAGATTCACCTGGTTCGAATCCAGGCCGGGTCTTATCGATATCGGGATGCTTTTTCTCGGTGACCTCGCGTGTGCCTACTTATTCCGGTAAAGACTCGTGTTTCAACCGATTCTGGCGGGGGTCTCAATGGTTTTTGGATTCAGCAGAAGGGTGGAGGAAAAGAATCTTTGGTTGGAAACGTTAAACTTGGAATCTCAGGACCACGACTCGGATTCAGGCTTGCTGGGTGTATCTAACCGGTGAACTGACCTGGAAAAGGCTTGGTTGCGCATGGTGCACGTTTGCATCTAATGGTTGCAAAGCTTTATCTCAACATCCAGAGTTGCCTGGTTCGAATCCAGGCCGGGCCTTGCTTGAGGTGTATCCGTTTTTAAACTCTTCTCCCAATTATACCTTGCCGCAGTTGGCCGGTTCCCGTTCTCAACCTGACGACTGGAGGGTCCTCCAGAAGGAAGTCAAACCAATGGTTTATTTGAGTCCTGATGGTCAGCAAATGAGTATATCCAAGCTGTGAACCCACCTAGAAGAGACCTGGTTGTGCGTGGCGCGCGTCTGCATTTCATTTCCCAGAGCGTTTCGCCTCAGCAGATTAGCCTGGTTCGAATCTAAGTCGGGTCTTGACGTGATTATGATGTTTTTGATTATGATGTTTTTTCTTTGTGTTTCTGCCGCGTCTTGCCAGTGTGATCATGAGGGAACGGGCACTCCTTCCGGTTTCTGGTTCCCGCTTTTTCCCAACGCTGCAACAGGGCGGTGGATGGAGGATAGGAAAATTTGAAATCGAACCAGTGGTTGGAAACGTTGAACTTGGAATCTCAGGACCACGAATTGAGTTCAGATCGGGGTGTATCCAAGCTGTGAAATAACCTAGAAGAGACCTGGTTGCGCGTCTGCATCTCATAATTTCGTTGAACCAAATTGAATATGCAGATTCGCCTGGTTCGAATCCAGGCCGGGTCTTAGACAGTAGACCCAATGTTTTTATCGTTGACCTCGCATTTACTGATTCCAGTAAAGCTCGTGTTTTGACTGATCCTGACCCTGGTTCTCAAGGGTTTTCGGAACTGGCAGAAGGTGGAGAAAAGAGAAATCGAACCGACGGTTGGAAACTTGGAAACTTGGAATCTCAGGACCACGAATTAGATTTAGACTCGGAATAATATAGGAAGATTGTGGTCTATTCAAGCTTCAAACTGACCTGGAGGAGGCTCGGTTGCGTGTGGTGTGCATCTGCATTTGATGATGGCAGAACTTGACCTCCTGTTAGCAGAATTCCTGGTTCGAATCCAGGTCGGGCTTTGCATAACGATAGCATCCTTTTTGCACATCCAGGCAATTTGTGTTCCTTCCTGCCGGCGGTATGCTCCGCTCGTTTCTGCTCAGTGGGCCAGAGCGGAAGGGGGAACTGAGGAAATCGAACTGGTGGTTGAAACGGAGAGGTTGCAACTGATGCCGCGTTCTGGTTGTCAGTTTGCAACAGGCATGTACAGAATCCAAGACACTCGGTATAAAGGTTCGCATCAACCAAGGAGAGGTCCGATTACACATGGCGCGCGTCCGCATTACATGATCATTGGTCGAGGATTTTAGAACCTCACACAGAGCAAACACAGAGTTCCTTGCAATTGGTCCATTGGTTCGAATCCGGGTCGGGGCGTTGAATTTGCGTGGCGTCTTTTTGGTCCCAGCAGACTGGCACTTGGGCAGAGCGACTAACAGTTCAAGAGCACCCAAGAAAGAAAAACCCCGAACAGTGAGGTTGACTGGCGATCTGGAATTTTGTCTGGTGGATTCAGCAAGCACCTTCGTCGGAGCAGTGAGCAGTAGGAGGGAAAATCGGTTACGGGGTCAGCAGAGTTGCCTGCCAAGGCGGAGATGCAAAATCGAACCGTGGGTAAAACTTGCCATCTCAGGTGCGCACTCAATGATAGCCTTCTTCTCATCTGGTTTGCAAGGTCACTAGTCCGGTAGCTGGAACGAGTCCCGTTTTCCTCAACCAATCCAGCAGGAAAGCGTAGCAAAGCAAATGATTGGACCAGTGGTTGGGCATCACTCGCCCGTTTTGGTTCTTCTTGTTATCAGTAGCCGATGCGAAGACGTCCAAGTTGACAAGACGCCTGCCGTAACGGTGCACACACACTTCCTACCTCCACGACGCCTAATGGCCTCTCTTACCCAGCTGGATATCAGAGGCATCCGCTCTTTTGACGACAAGCACGTTGCAAAGATCATGTTTGACTCCCCAGTCACCGTCATCGTCGGCCACAATGGCAGCGGCAAGACAACTATCATTGAATGTCTCAAGTACGCTACCACCGGCGACCAGCCTCCGAACACTCGCGGTGGTGCTTTCATCCACAACCCTAACCTGGCCAACGAAAATGAGGTCAAGGCCGAGGTCAAGCTCCAATTTTCCGCTGCCAATGGCACCAGCATGGTGGCAACGCGCAATCTGGGTGTAGCGTTTAACAAGGCTGGCAACCTGGCCATGAAAACTCTCGGGAATACCTTGGTGGTGGGTGATGAACCCCAACTCAGCCCGAACAGTAAGGTCAGTCTCCTTTTATTGGTCCCAGCTCCACATTGCCAAACTGAATTCAGAGGCGCACTATATCAACCAAAAGTGCAGATATGGATTCAGCGACACCCCGGCTACTTGGCGTCTCCAAAGCGGTTCTCGAGAACGTCATTTTTTGTCACCAGGAGGATTCGTACTGGCCGCTCGCCGAGCCTGCAGCGTTGAAGAAGAAATTCGACAACATTTTTGAAGCTACGAAGTACGTCTTGGATCTGAGATGTGCACATTCTCTCTCATCCGTTTTAGATACACCAAAGCCGTCGACTCGATCAAGGCCTTGCGCAAAGACCGCTTGGCGGAGCTGAAAACCAAGAAAGAACGTCTCGACGGGCTATTTCGTAAGAAGGCGCACGCAAATAAACTCAAAGCCCGTATCGCCAATCTCAACCAAGTAATTGCTGCCAAGGAGGTCGAGCACGATGAGACCAAGACGGCCTACGACGAGCTTGTCGTTTCGAACCAGAAGTTTTACGAATATGCCACTCATTTCCGCGAGGTCTACATCCGAGTCGAAAATGCCGAAGCGAGCATGGCCCGGATTCAAGTTGATTTGAACGAGGCCCAGTCCAACCTTCAGGAAATTCCCGGTAAGTTTTGTTGTCGGCGGAAGTCAGGAAAGCTGAAGGCATGCAGGCACGGACACCGAACTTGAAGCCAAGCTGAACAACGCTGACAGTGACCTGCAGCTACCCCGACAGAATGTTATATCCGTGCACGCACACGCCCAGGACGTCACCAGAAATCTCCAAGTAGTCACCGGTCACTCGACCGGTACCGGCCACTCGACCGGTCCCGGCCGACCGGTGGATACTCGTGGGATCTTCTTGAGTCTTATCGCACCATCCTTGCGCCATACAATCACCAGGCCCTCAGCCTATGGCCAATGGACCTCATCCTTATTGGAGCCTTAGCTGTAATATATAGAATAAACAGAATGGCCGTAGCCATGTAACCCTCTATCTAAGGCCACGGAGCTAGCCAACTGGGTGGGTAGGGTGCCTGGGCAGGCCAGCCAGCTATATTTAACCCCCGGGCGCCTGTTGATTGTATATATTTGTGCCTCCGGGACTGGTTGAAATTCATTAGGATCAAAATGATGGCCCCAAACAAATATAATAATTGGGTGAATGTGCTGTCCGAATGCGGACAGGCCCAATGCGGACAGCCTGATTGATTCTCGGCTTGCTCGGCATTACTGATTCGGGTACCGCGGCTCGGGATATCCCGCGGTCAGTAAAAGTTGCTTTGACCGGGGCCGGCGCAGCTTTTCCTGCGCCCCGTTGGCACCAATAATATTCGTGGTGATGGGGGTACGGCTCCTAAACCTTTGGGTGGTCCGTGGGGGCCCTTGTATAGCCCCAATCGACCCTCAAATCCGATTTATTCCAATATTTAATTCCATAAAAGCTGGAATTACGGCGCTCCTCGGGGCAGGAAAATCGCATGGAGCAGGCGCAGCATTGCAAGACCCCCAGGCAAGTGTCTCCGACCTCCTCGATGCCCCGATTGGCCCACAACACTGGTTGGGAGATTCAAGTTTTTCAGCTCGATTTACAGTGAAAAACATCCTTTGTTTTTCAGACGTTTTTCAGCGAAAAACAAGGTGAAAAATTCAAACTTTCTTCACCACTATTTCAAGTGAGAATCATTGTGAAAAACTTGAAACAAAATTCATGAAGATTCTCAGTGTTTCTTCACCACAAAATCCAGGAGTTTTTCACGGATTTCTGAGTGCAAAAGCAGGTGAAAAATTCAAAACTTCTTCACCACTATCTCAAGTGGAAACTGTTCTGAAAAACTTGGAACCAAACAGATGAAAAATTCAAAACCTTTTTCACACAAGTTTTGACGGAAAAGGGAGTGTAAAATGTGTGAAAAACTGGAGTGAAAAAAGTGGTGAAAAACTTGAAACCCGGTTTTCAATTATTCAGACATTTCTCAGGTGTTTTTCGCCCGAGAAAATGGGTGAAAAATTTGAAACCTGGATAAGATAATTCCCAAAGGGTGAAAAAGCTCGGAGGCAATGCACTAGAGACTCAGAGTCCACAGAGGAGCTTGTAAGTTAACAGGTGGGGTGTGTCAGGGGAACCTCCTCCTGACGCCCCTTTAAGCCCTCGGGTATCTCCCGTTGGCATTCCGCCTGTGACCAAGCCCGAAATCTCTGCCGATCACTCCGGTCACATGCACCTGTATAGTACGTATTTAGAGTCCTGACCTAGCGTGGGAATCCTCAGAGTTTCTTCTCTTCTGATTCCCCTCGCTAGGTGCATTATACTTTCCTGTATTCTAGTGTACATTATTGATATACTTCGGATTCCCCTCGCTGGGCTTCTTGAGTATTCTCGGGCCTCGAGGTTGCCCTTACAGGGTGTTGGTGGTGACCTAAATTTAAACTTCACAGTAGAGGAACGATAGCAATTGGAGCACAGATCAGGATAGCATAATTGAAAGCCT